TTCAGAATAAAAAAAAACTGTCAATTCTTAAGTGCTTTAAATTCACTGCTCGTTCTTTCATTCAGTACATTGCATGTCTATTGAAAAAAAAAAAACTAATTATTTAACTGTCGCTGTGGTAGGTTCGGTCAACTCCATGAAACCGTTGCGCCTATATTGCGCCATTGACGTGTGCACCATCTCAATGTCAACACTCATTCTTAATAGTAAAACTATTATACACACGCTGTTCATGTATCATAATGTTTGTTGTGTGTGGATGATGTTTTTGTAGAGGTGGTGACCCATAAACATCCTCACATTAAATGTTTCACCCAATTTTATTCTAACAGACCCAGTTTTCACATTTGTCTGGAAAGACTGTGCTACCAATTTTCTCGAAGTTACAATTGATCCGTCAAGTTCAACTGGCTCCGTCAGATTTAATTTTGTCGATGTAACTACAAGTACAAAGGTGGCAACTGAAATTCAGGATTACGGAACTACTGTGGTTTATACTGTTCCGGATACTTTGGATAATTCTGTAGAAAACAAAGTTAATGGTCGTGGTTTTCGATTTGCACTTCCAAAATGTGAGTATGCATTTTCATAATATGTTTTACAATACATGTTTACCCAGTTTAATGAAAACATATGTGAGAGAGAGTAAAAATAGTCATGGACTAATCGTTATGAAATATATAAATTCCCTAAAGTGTTTTTTTATACATGTAGATCAGAGTCGAAATTAGCATTGCTGTGATGACTAAATTTGTAATTTAAATATATAATATATCATTTTTGAAACATTGTAAGTGCAAATTGCAAGTGCTAGTGCTGACACAGTGTATTTTGCTACAGACGTCATTTCCTGCTTGGGACTATATGACAGGGCTGTGTGGCCATCTCACTATCAAATGGCAATTTTAATACGCTATCCTGGCGTCAACCAGGCCCGGTCGAAAATATGCACCTGCGGACCTTAACCAAGGTACCTCCAAAGTCGCATTCGTTAGTGAATGAATCTCGGCCAGTTGAATTGGCCTTCCCATTGAGTCTGTGGCACACTAACTCAGGTCAGGATAGGGATCGATCCTTTGATGTTCAGCCTTAGGTAGTATTTGAACTTTCGATGCCTGCCAATTATCTACATTTTACTGAATGTCAAAATACTGGTCACAGGACATTTCATTATTCATATATTGATTTTCTAATTAGTATATATCTTGGTTTTAATTCTGACATCAAATGAGTACAACTCCCAGCAGGCTGTATTTGTCTTCTTCAGAAATTGTAGATATGGTATATGTGAACAATACCTGGTCAGCAATTTTTGTTTAATTTAAGCATTTTAAATATTTCACTATTTGAACAGCATAACCTTCTAGTGAAAATAAAAAAAATACACTTAAAAGAAAGAAAAGTATGTTGTTTTGTTTCTCATGTTTTATTTTACATTTTCAACAAATTTAGTACTCCTTCCAATTTTCTCCCAGTACTCATTTGAATCTCCAATAAAGGATTTATTTACTCAGCAGTCACATAACCTCATGAAGGTGCTACCTAACGTAACATCACTTTTCAATTATTCTGAATTGTGAGCCTTCATAGTATATATTTTCTTTAAATCAACTATTCCATGAAAATGAGTAATGTGAATTTTATTCCCCGAAAAAACTACATTCTTGAATAAAACTTAGTAAGCAGTAATTGTGGCTTAGCTTGTAGCGAGTGCATATATGGAGTGAATTGTGCAATATCAAGTGGTATACCCAACTTCGGCGGGGGTTATTGCTATTATATTATACCAGTATATTGACAATTCGATAAAACTTGTAAAAAAAGAGTTTACTTTCATCTACTAAAAGATCATGATTATGGCCCTTGAACATGAATATTTATAAGAATAGTATGTAGTTGTACGCTGAATGCATACAAAAGCATAACAAAGGATGACCTTTCTGACCTTTTACTGACGCACAACGCGATTTGAAATACAGGGTCGTGTACAGTTTGGATCATTTAAACAACGGATTTTCCACGTTTTCATTCCGGTTTTTGTACAATTTGGACTGTAATTTGCCCATTGAAAGTACAGTTGTGAAATAAACCGGTTTTGTGACTCATCATACTACTTGTAACTGTGGATATTTGACGTTCAGCGGTACTTGGTTCGACCGAAATTTGAGACGCGGCGGGACGGGGTGTATCATGTACGGCGACCGGCACAGCGACCTCAGTTCCAACATCTGACCTGGATACCTTTGGTATAACCAAAGTTTTGTGACAGTATGACTGACAAGTTTTGTCGTTGTTCTGGGGTAAGTTTTATGGTGTAAGATCGGATTTTCGCATCGTTTTTGTGACACGTACATGATATGCCTTGTCTCAACCCCGGCCGAAAGACTTTGCACGCCGTCGCTCTAATACAGTGGTTGGTGTACACTCGGCACAAATCTGTAGCTTTCGAAATTACCTTCATCATTGTGGTGTCGGGCCCAATAAACACGCAGACAACAGGTTCGGTATACAAGCAAGGTTTACTTGTGTGTAATAACTCACAGAACTCCCAAAGATGGCAGCCCTGTCCCAGAATTCCATCTGTTGCTAAGCAACCCAACTGATGGCGGGAATATGGCCATGCAAA